GCTTAGCAACTCCTCAGTGGCTGGGATTCAGAGAAGTTGTGTGCAGTTTTAACCATCTCACTGTATTGACTCCTAGAGAAGCAGACTTTTAACAGGCAGGAAGCTTTCTGGCACAAGCCCTGGTGACCACAGAGTCAAACATCTCTACAGTAACAGAACAGGCAGCTGTGCACAACTCTGGGGACTTGTTACAAGTTCTTTAAAATCCTGTGCATACCTGCTTCATTTCTTGGGGTGTGTAGAGCATGGTTCGGATAATCATCACTCGATCCAGCAGGTCCAGTGGTATTCCATGAGGAGACACGATATCCTCTGTGCCTCTGGAGGAGAAACCAAAAAAGAAAGAAATCAGACACTGCTGTGGGTTCAGTACATTTGTTTGGTTAAAATCACTAAAAAGTGACTACACTAGTTTACAACTAATACTACTAGTTTACTACATACCCCCTGGGTCAGAGACAGGAAACATTGCTCTAAGGCTCATTCTAGATAGCCCCAGGGAAACAAACACTATTGCTGGAGCTCTTAAATGCCTTTCAAAAATAGTGAGAGGTGCTTTCTTGAATTGTATCTCACAATATAGCCATATCTAATGTTCCAAGGTATCTTCCAGCAAGGAACAAATCATTCTCACTAAGCTGTTTAGCAGTATCAGCAGAATTATATATACTGTCATCCATTTGGAGAATATCCCCTGATGCTGAGCAAGCCATTCTTCCTCCAGTCCCCCCAGTGAATACTTCAGCAGTTTACATTCCACGCTTGCCATCCAGCAAACTGAGAAGTTTAAGTCTCTGTATGAAGGACAGGGCAGGATCTAGATCCCCAACCATTTTATTTGTTTGACATATAACACCCAACAGCAAAGCCTGCAGACACATGTACTCTTGGTTTCCCAAAACCACTGTAATTTGCTGTGAAGTCAAAAGATGCCCAGATTTAATTTATGAGAATTACACAGATTGCAGTAAAAACAGTGAAGTGTTGGTAAAGAACTACACTTTTAAGTTCAGTGCTAGTATTTAAGTACTGCAGTTCTGGCTGGCCATGGCTCTCCAATATTAGATGCCACTATTATATGGAAAATTTCCTTTCTGAAATCACAGCACAGTAACAAGGTCTGCAGTGAATCCATGCTGACAGATCTCTACTTCCTTTACTTTTACAAGACAGCTTTTTTATATCTTTGCAAAGAGAGTGTGGTAATGTCCATCTTAAACATTTCTGAAGGGCTTATCATTCTCACTTCTAAGCAATGCAAACAGAGAAAGATTAATACCAGACGAGCCACTATGAGGGAAAAGCTGGTTATACAGCTGAATTAAATCAATTCAAAGAGTAGCAATCATTGCTAATGACAGCTTGTTTAGACATAATTAGACCTAGACCACAATCTAGCAGTAGAACTTTACAGAAGACTCTGGAAGAGGAGAGCACTTTTACTGAACATGCAAAGAATGCATTTTGTGGGTGCAAAATATAAAAGTGAATGCAGAAAGCGAAGCGGAGATGAAAAACAAGTTGGTTAGCAAGAGTGAAGAATCACAAAAAGCCAGACCAACATAGCAGGAAAAGGGAGAGGCTGAACTGTGACACATTTCACCAGTAAGAACAAGAAGCTGAGGTCTGATGGAATTAGGACAGCAAGCAGCAAAGTAATGCAGAAGCAGGAAACAAAGGTATTAGAGGTTTGTAGCTGTGGTGCTTTTGAAGTCCCTAACTTGCAGGCAACAGATGTATGGAGGTATACAGTGAGATTAAATACTAATTGTCACAGATCGCCCAGGAAGTGAAGCAATTCAGAAACTGTTAAGAGGAGGAAGGATCTGTTAGGGGAAAGGAGGCATTCCAGTCAGCCTGGTGTTAAATGCTTGTCCCATCATGAAGCTCATGAGCAGCTATTGAATACCAACGCAGCTTGCAACTCATGCAGAGAATTATCACAGGTGTCAGTGGCAGAGACAAAAGCCTTTGAAGGTTGTAACTCTACTGACACCGCTAATTCCAAGTTTTATGGACCAGTGCAAACTGGAAAATTCAAGTTTAGACATCATACCTGATAATGCAGTTTCCTCGGTTGGAAGCAAAGATGACAATGGGGGAAATAGAAGATTCCAGTGCTCGGTGCAGGTATGTGAAACACTCAATATCCAGCATGTGAACCTCATCCACAAAGAGCACACCTGGAACCAGCTCAGCAATGCCTTGATCAATGTATTTGTTCACCACCTTATTTATCTCTCCTCGAAGTTTGTCTGAGAACAAAAAGAAACTGTTGGTTGTTCTGCTGGTGAACTATAGGTCAGAGGGTAAGGCTTGAAGCACGAAAAATTCTCCTTGAACTTTTCCATTATTTAGTATCTTACTGCCACAAGGAAAATTATCTGTGACGCTAAAATTTTGTGACATTTCATACTGTGTTGGGGAGGTATCTGTGCAACGAAGTATTTCTAACTGAAATACTCACATGTGTGAAAAATTGATTGTTGTAGGTTTGTGGAGTTTGGTAGGGGGTGGAGAAGTCAAGTCAAATTTCATTCTAAAACCGAAACTTACTGAAGCATGGCTGAAAAGAACACCACTGAAAGAATGAAATCTTGCTACTCTATTTCAGCAAAGAAGTTGTGTTTAACAAAAAAGAAAAAAAAAAGAAAAAAAAAGGCTATATAAGTTTCTGTGAACTTACTGCTCTCAAAGCTATGCCAGGTGTTACATCAATATATATGGTATTAGAATAAGCAAAGCAACCTCTGGGGCAGACAAAATACTTCAAAAGACAATCATTCAGTTAGGTATTGAAACAGATTTTGATTTAAATTTAGATAGTAACTTAGTGAAGCACCATTTCTTTCAAAGCAGAAAGGAGAACAGATCTGCCTGTGGATACTGTTTTCTCCCAAGACCTGTAGGTAGGAAGAGCAGCAGTGCTTGTGGAGCATCAGGTCCTTAGACAGCTGTTACAGAGGTGCCATTCTTCTGCTCCACCACAATTCAGTGTGACTGCTACATAATTTTTTAGAATTTGTGTATTACTGCTGTTCAGTTTGACTCTTTGTTGAAAGCCTGAACCTCACACTGTTGCAGGAACGTTGTGGGATGGGTGCTGGCATTCTGACCTCTCCCCAGGAAAATGGGTGCAGAGCAGTGTATACATTTTACCACTACATGCATGAACCAGTAACTTGGACTGTCTCCAGCAATTGCAATTCTAGCAACTGTATGTATCACTGCTTTTTGGAATCCTAGTACTTATGAATATGTGTTATGTAGGCATTCATTTAAATATAATAACTCTATTTTTAATCTTTTTCTGTCTGGAAAACACATAGATCATATAATCTCAAAATACCATACAGGTTTCGTACCGGTAATTTCAGTTTTCTTAGGTTTCATCAACTGTCCCATCATAGAAAGGATGTCTTGTCCTCCCTAGGAAAAGAAAGTGACAGTTGAGGTCATGTAGTAAGCACATACCTTGGGAATTTTATAGATCAGGAATTGGCTAAAGAAGTTGTTTCTTACAGTTAACTTGATACTTTATATCAGCAGTCTTTGATAATCTGTCAAAGTTTAGATCACCTCACCACAGGAGCATTCGAAACAATCACCTAGTTACTCCCTCAATCTTGCTCATTTGGAGAGCATAAAAAATCAAAATGAGATGTCCTCTCTTGAAAAAACTGTCACAGAGCAACTCTTAAGGAATGAAATTGTCAGGGAACACAGAAACTTGGATTGCCTGCACACACATAGGTGTTCGGCCTGTCAACATAGGAAGAATTATTCTAAATTTTATGACTTTTTAATACCATGATTTTTATCAAATAAATTATTTTTTGTAAATAAGGAGGTTTATTTTGAAATTCAGTAAGTTAAAAGAGTTGTATTGTTTTACTGTAGGGATTCCAGCCTTTAAACTTATTAGTGACTTCGCTTTTGACACAGACAGAATTCCCTTAAGAGTGGATTTACGTTCAGTCATGGCAAGGAGTAAGTCTTCTATTTCCTGGCTTTTTTTTTGTTGCAAAACATGCAGAACTCTACTGAAATTCCCTAAGAAGTTTAACGAGTGGTTATGAAACCTTTCTGAAATAAGCAAGAACATCAACAGAATCCACGGCAGTCAAAAATAGTTAATCACAATTCTTGCAGTTTCCATTTCATGGTTACGAAACCATAGACACAGAGCAGATTAATCTGCATTCAGAACTTCCAGTAAATGAAATTAGGCAGGTCCGGCTGCTGCTACCTCACACCTGTAGGCAGCTTTCCCTCTGGAGAAAAAGCAATAATCTCTTTTTCTGGTCAGAGGCAACAACCCACAATGCTCTTCTTCTGCAAGTGATGGGGCACAGTGGTGGAGGGTCTAGATTATGCATTAACTGTGAGGGTGGTGGATCCCAAATACCTGGGTGGAAGCTGCTCCATAACTCCCAGACCGTTCACTGTAGTGCTAGGAGTGTTATGCTGACCAGTATTCCATGACCAGGTGCGTGAATCCTAAGGAAGCAACTGCCTATTCAATCTCCATGGCAGGGCCCTGAGGCAGCCAGCTGCAGCAGGACCTCCCTGAGGAGAGATAGATTGGCCTTCAAGGTCTAACACCTACTGCTTTTCCTACAGTGGAATCTTTGAGGGTGAGTGAGTTAGCTGAACTTCCTATATCTCAATTTTTCTGGTAACATCACATCTATGTCAAATAATTTTTCTGTGAAGACTTCATCTGTGAAGTCAGATACCTGAGGTCGAGCATTGTGCACATCACCTTTTGGCAAGGGAACATACTCTTCAGCTTCAAGGTCAAATTCCGTAGCATAGATATCACACCTGCCTTGCCTCTGAGGAACAGCAAAGAGAAACCCAGGTATAGAATTAATTTCAGTGCCAAAACCCTGAGTGACATGAATTTGATAACAGGGTAAGTTCACAATTCCAATTCTGACAAGCTTCAGCTGACAATTCAGACATCCCACTCCCTGCTTAGCAACAGGCATATCCTATCTACTGATCAAAGCTCAAAAACTCTGTTGAAAAGCACCTGATATTTTCAGTGGCAAGAATATTCCATTCCTCTCTCCCCTTCTTTTACCCTATGCAATTCTTGCTAAAGGACAAATCCAGAAGATTAACCAGAGATTGGGAGAACCTCCTTTGTAGGTGGGTGATTTATTATATGATAGAAAATATTATGCTCATCCATTAAACAGCACGGATCACTATACACTACTTTCTAAATCAGATATGAAAAGAATGCTAACTAATGCAGTATTCCCTTCTACATGTATATATCTTGTGGAGAAAATATCAGAGCGATAAAAGAAAGATTAAATACGCTGCACATGTCAGCCTGAAAATGACTAAAGTTGTTTGGCTCTTCCCCTCTTCCCTTAGAGATGCCTTGATCTTACAGAAAAGAAAACTCATCCAGACAGCATCAGTGATAGCTTCCTTGCCAGATGACCTTAATTGTGAACCAGATCACCACATTCTTTGGGTGCAAAAGAGACTTTTCTCTCCAGATAAGGGAAGCACTGGGCTCTTTTTAAAACTTCCATGTAACCATGATGTCAGTTAAGGCTAATAAATCAGAGAGCCTTCTGACAAAGGCAGAGAAAGGTCTGCAAAAAACATACACCTGCATAAAAGTAGAGAAGTTTTCTCTTACCTTGACAGCTCCACTGTTTGCTTCAATATAAATAACGTCACCAGTTTCCACTCGCTCCTTCTGCAAGCTTTCAAAAATGCTCGGGTCCAGCTGGAGACAAGCAAACAGCACAGTCGATCAAAACAGCTCCATATTGTTATGGTAATAAAGGTAAAGAAATTCAGTTTGAAGCTCACTCCCATCAGACAAAATTAAACTGCAACTCACCCTGACAATGCCTCTAGGATTTTATAAAGCTGTAACATTTGGAGTACGGATAGCAAGTAAATCTGGAAGATGCACAGAACTTACTGTCTTACAAAAAATCTGCTTTCCAAAAGGAAGTGACAGTGCTAGAAACATAATGATACCAGCTACAAAACATACCTCTGAGCAATGTGACAATGTATTTATACCTAAGAAACAGTAGTTCTCTAGCTTTCTAGGAAAACTTTTATAAAAAATCTGGCTATAGCATTGAATTATGTTCCTTGGTTTCTTGAGTCCTTATCCTCTGTGGAGCTCTGTGAGGGAGAATGGGTATGGAATATATTAGATGCCTTTGTTTCTCTTGGTACATGTTTATTCACTTTTGCTCTTCATTTCCTTGTTTTCAGAGTGAACAAATGAAAGATGATACTTAACAACAGAGACAGCTTTTAGTTCTCTCCACGTCTGACAGGGAAATTGAATGGAGACAAGAAAACAAAAGGAAAGTGGGCCTGAGCTGGCAACATACCAGCTCAATTTCCAGTTCTCTATCAAACACTCACTAGAGCATGACACCCTATGTAGAAAGAAAAGATGTGACAGAAAGAATAATTTATATTTAAACAGGCAATATTTCCCAAGCCATCCCCAAAAATTTGGTCCCTGACAATCAGGAAAGCAAAACCAAACAAGGCCTTTCTCGTATGTTTATTACCATGAACATTAATTTATAGCCATGGTCAGAATGTATCACAGACTGAGACAGAACAAAATTCAGATTGCCAACTCAGCCAATTTTTTGTTGTACTTGTATCTACAGGTATTTGGATCTACAAAATTGCATCAGGATCCCTTCCTACTAAAACTCACTTTTAACTCCTTGGAGATATACAGGTGTGTGCTGCCAAACAGAGATATAACAGCTGCTAACCAAGTGATGATGGGTTTATCTCAATTATTTCAATTAGTAGGACACAAGACCAATATCTAAATATTCTACATAAAGCAGATAAACAGTCAGGATGAAGTTGTCTAGCCAAAGAAAGCAGCCTCCTGCCAGCCCCACTTGACAGAGATGGGGATCAAGAGCTTGAAACAGAAGTAAGAAGTGCTAAAAATAGAAGCTGCAAACCCAAAATGCTTAAGGAAATCTCTGAGACTCTATCACACATACCTTCAACTGTTTGGTTCCCTTTGCAGTTTTGAGTCCTATAATTACATGGCTGATGGTTTTGCCATATCCCCCCATAGGATTCTCAGTCTCACAGGGAGTTAGTTCTGTGACTTCTCCTTCATACACTTCCTTGGTCTCTTTAATCCTCAACCCTGCAAGGAATTGTTTAAAACAGTTTCAGCGTACACTTAGTAGTCTGCTGCTTTACTGGCAACAAAATGTAACATATTGTTAGGGTGCATTATATTTCATGGTAATGTTTTACTTTTAAAGGCAGAAAGATGAATTATTGTTCTCTTCTTCAATATTAAGTGAGAATATTTATCCTGTGCATCAGAATGAAAGTTCAGCCCAACTTCTGACCTGATAAGAAGTTTATTAAACTTTTAGAAATTACTTTCTTCTATTCATTATTATTATTAGTTCCTGAAGCAAATGTTAGGATGCCGTCTCTTTTCCCTCCCACAAAGACGGAATTTGCTTGATTTGTTTCCTATGCTAAAGCCAGAAACACAGATCACCTTCTGAAACTAGTGACATTAATATAACAATGAATTTTACACAATTTTTGAATCATCAAAAAAGCCCTGCAAAATTAACAAAACTATAGAAAAAAAACCTAACTTAAAAAACTTGACATTTTAACAACTTTATTTTTTAGAGCTAAAAATATAACAAATTGATTAACAAGTATTGTGCTAGAACACCATAAAATTACTAAAGGGTTAATGTATAATTTCAAATATTATTCAAGTTTATAGTAAAAGGTGAGCTAGATAAAATTTAGCAGAAACTGCAACAATGCAAATTTAAAAATATTTCAAAATAGCTGAAAATTATATCCTCACTTTGTTATTTTTCAGATAGCCAAGCAATCATTAGAATATCTGGCTAGCTTCTGTTCTAGTCACAATTAATATAATTAACCAGGTTATTATAAATTGATAAATAATATAAAGCTGAAGAGATTTACAGGCAGACAGTTTCAAAGCAAAGCCACTATCATCACCACCACCACTACCATTATATATGGTCTAACTACACAGAAGTTCAAAGAATCCACATCTGAAGAAACTCCATAAAGTATTTTATGAGACACACATGCCATACCAAAAATAATGAATGGGCTGTAACAAGATACAAGGAAGTCATCCTGCCCAGTCTGAGGGTATTGTGACTTTATAAACCTTTCCTTGTTCTGTAACTTCTCATTTTGCTTTGAAATAGATCAGACACTTCAGCAGTAATTTTGAGCTGCTGATAGGGGCTATAAAGAACTGACAAATACGAGTCTGTCTCCCTCTACTGGGCCCAAACTCAGACCAGGATCTGAAATGCGAGAAACAGCATAACTGTGGATAACATGACAAATTCTTGCTAAGAAACGTTTGCTTTCTCTTACTTAAGATGACGTAAACAAAGTTAATTTCAGTAATTTTTAAAATGTTTTTCAGGTATGCCAAAACACCAGACAGAAATTAATGAACCTCTGAGTTATAAAACTGACCTAGACAAGGCTGCATCACACTGGCTCATACGCAATGAGTGTGAATCAATATGGGAATGTGCACTTTGAAACTGTTATTGCCATAGACTGGGCCAGGTTTGCTTGCTCTCTTTGTTTTGCTTTTAACTTCCAGCACAAGCTCTACTTTGCTCTGAAACCATGGTAGCCTGTTTGTGTTTGGGATATGATTTGTATGCTGCTGAAGCATGCAATGAATCTTCCAGTTCTGTTTCATCTGGAAAGAATCCAGTTCATGTGCTCATTCTGTTCTACAACACAAGTTAAAGCCAAGTCAGTGAGGGCAAACCCAGGGATTTGCTTCAGAAGCCTTCTCTAATCCAGGCTAATGTGCTCTTAGAGACGTGTCTGTGGAAAATATTTACAGATGAACACGATCTCAACAAAGGTAACTGATGTTTTCAACTTGCTGCTGATTATCCTTTGACTTTAAATGAATATGTATGTGTCAACTATGAATTTCATTCTCAGAAGAGCTCTTATAGAGTTCTACTTCCAAATCAGACACAAATCCAAGGAAGCAATTGTGGGCTATTTCATATTTTGGTTCAACATGGAGCTAACTCCATGGAGCTAAGCAGTGCTTGCCTGACTCACTGGCAGGTCCAGTTTGGCAACACAAGGAACAGTTATGCCACTGAAGTGGCTAATGCAGCAGTTATTTTTTACTGCAACTAAGCTCTTAACATTAGCTGCTGTCATCATCCTCACCAGCTGCTAATGAGCTCTACACTGGATTAATCTCTCTCAGGTTAAATTTCTTTTAACCCATTAAACAATTTGATCTCATTTCTCACTCTGTCCTTTGATGTTTCTTACATGTTATAACCTCTCTACTGCATCTCATGCAGTACTTGGCCATGAGACTATGTCAAGTCTGTTATTAAAAGACTCAATAAAAATTCTGTAAACTCAGAGTAACTCCTACTTTCTTATAAAGTGATGGATCCAAACTAGTCAGACTCTGTCGTTACCAAGAAAAAAACCCCAACCATTAAGTAAAAACTGTAATGTTAATATCTCTGATAATTTTTAAAAATTCAAGTGGCTAAACCCCTTGAAAGCAAAATGCATGATATGAGCAATGATGTACACAGAATGTGCTACCAAGGAGACATACAAACAAAACTCAAAAAAACCTGAGTGAATACTTTAAGTACCGATGAACATGTGAGCTGAAGCTTTCCTTGCACCCAGACAAGTAAATTACATGGAATCCTTTTTTAAAAAAATGCACCCTTGTAAAATATTTCTTTACCAAGCAGGGAAGCTAAAACCTACCTGAGATTAAAACCCAACTGGAAAGTGTTATGTTACAAGAAATGGTGGTTTACTCGTCCTTTAAAATAACTCAGAAAATATTTTTTTACATCCATAAACATATTCAATAAGGGTTGTGTTACGAAAATGTGACAAGGAATTCATCAGAAAGGAATAAAGGAAGTTCCATCTTTCATTAACACTAATATTTGTTTAGAAGTGTCTCTCTATTGACACTGAGGGAATGCAGGGAACTAACAATGTAGCTGGCTGTTAAACCTCTGCTATCTCTAGAACTGACAACATGGATGGCACAAGTTTCACCTGTTGGTTCAGGTTTCCAAATCTCTGACAGGGAACTTCATCACATCAAGGAAATTTTGCAGACTACTGAGGCTTCCCTCCCCCAAGTCCTGCCAGTTTTGTGGTAACCAGAAGACCAGAGACTACTGAAAGTTGCTTTCTTACAAAAGTCAATGGAATACTTTTGTTTCAGTGAAGAACTGAGAGACTTCTTCACCCTGCTGCTGCCAGATGAAGTCCAAGAGGAAACACAGTACTGAGACAGGAAAATTACTGTTAATGTGTTCAGGACTAAAATCAACTGGGCTGTCTTTAGCCAATCCTCACACAAACAAGAGCACTTCTACCTGCATTTATCAGCTGTCAGCAGCTGCTGAGGAAGAGATTTTAGATAATCACTGAGGCTGTGTTGAAAATTAAGCCAATTTACATCAAACTTGTAAATGCACCGTAGAATTGAAGCAGACATTAAGTTAAAGTGTTTATTTAGTTGGCATGGATTTTTCCCTGTGCTCAGTGGAACAGTAAGTCAGGCTAATGCTGCCATTTGGGAACCCCCTGATTAAGGCTGTCTGTTTAGTAGGATGAAACCACTAAAACAAAAAATAGGAGGAGCATTTTTCTGTCTACAAGTATTTCTGCTAATATAAGAAACTGAAAATTATTTTTTCTTTCAAAAAACAGAGAGGTGAAGATGGAGGATGAGAGAAGAATTTGCTGAAGTACAAACAAAAATACAATAATTAAATTACAGTTTGTAAACAGAAAACCGGATTCCACTAAGTGTGAAATAGATTCACTAAATTAGGATCAGCACTGAAGAAAATAAGCATACAAAAATCTGAAAATGTCTTGACCAATAAAAAGTTTTTCCTTTTTAGATGACTGGGAAAAAGCAAAGTATCATGCAAATACTTTATTCTTTTTTTTCTGAAACTTACCAATTGCACGTCGGAAGTTTTCCATTAGAACTTCTGTTTTCTTGATCTCAGTGGAATAGACCTCACTTCCAACCATAGGACAAAAGGGAACTTTGCTTCCCAGTTCCTGAGCAATAGCTAAAGCCAAAGCAGTCTTTAAAAGGAAAAAAAACCAAAACCAAATATAAAACCCAGACATTAATTTCGAAAATAATTCAGAAACTATTATTTTTGCACAAAGTTAACTTTTCTAATTATATCACCTTCTATACAACAACTATCAATTTAATGGTAAGACTATTCTGTCTGACATTTCTTACACCTAACAACCCTCCTCCAACACAGGTGACCCGGGACAAAGACTTTTAAAAAAACCCGAAGACACAATACTGGGAATTTGAATTTGACAGCTGATACAGAGGCAAAAAGCCTTAAATAGCTTGGGAGCGGGGGGGGAAGTAATCCAAGCAAAAACTATTCTGGCTTTTAATATAAAAGTAACTTCTGAAAGTTTTTCACACCCCTTGTTACCTATCTGTTTAGTAACTTACAAGAGGTGGTTTCACATTAAAGATGCTGAACACACTAGTGTATATTGCCAGTGTTGATGACATAGCAAAACTAAAAATACAAAGCAGAAAACTACATCAATAAACTGATTGAAAAAAATCTGGTATATGAAAACATTCAGTAAGCACTACCCTAAAACGGTTTTGACAACAAATCAAAATAGATTTGGAAATACTTTATCTCATAAAAAACCAGAAAAATAATACCTTGCCAGTTCCAGGAGGTCCTGCCAACAGCACTGCTCTGCCAGCCATTTTTTTGCTTTTGATTAGCTCCACTATTACCCCACATGCCTACAAGTCAAATAAGTATTTATACCGTTAACACAAGTACTGCTATAGTATCTTTTGTTCCAACATTACTTGAAGTGTTTAGAAATAATAGGCTTTACAAAAAGTAAAAGTTTCGATTTTATGCATACAAAAAGAAAGACAAGATCAGAAAAACGTACTTTCTACAATCATTTTAGTTGACACAGACATTACAAAATAACAGAAAACAAAACCCAATATGTGAGCTCCGACTCCTTTTCCCTCCCGCAGTCCCACGCACAGAGAGAGCTCTGAAAGTAAAGCAAGAAATTAATTTTCGCTGCCTGGGCCGTAGATCCTCTACAAATCTCCTTTCACGGCTAGGCTGGATGGGACTGAACAACCTGGGAATGTGTTCTTGCCCACGGCAGGGGGGTGGAACGAGAGATGATCTTTAAGGTCCCTTCCAAACCAAACCAATCTGTGATTCCATGAAGGTTTTATCCGGCCACCGCATTGAGAGGGATGTTCCCATCCTTACTTGCATCAAATCTGTTGCCCGTAGCACCCCAATTTCCACGCCGGACACCCGGGATCACCATCCTTGCGCGAAGCAGGAGTAGAGCAGCTCCAGCCCCGCCCGTCCCCATCGCGTCTCACACGGCAGCAGCGACCCGGAGGAACCCAGGCACGACCCCCCCTCACTACCGGGGACTTGTCAGACGCCCCGGCCCGGCCCCGCGCTCACCTCCCGCGCATTCTCCTGCCCCACGAGCCCGGCCCCCGCCGGCTTGGCGGCGCCGCTCTCGTCCAGCCCCAGCCCCTTGACATGGCTGTGGGCGGCGATGCGCTGGGTCTTCGAGGTGCTCTTCACCTCCTCGATCTTCATGGCGGGCCTGTCCCGGGCAGCTCCAGCCCGGCCGCCCCGCGCTCCTCGCACGCGGCCCGCGCGTTACCGGGGCTCCCAGCGCACTCCGGCGCGCCCCGCCCCCGCTCCGCTATTGGTCCCCGCCGCGGCGCCCTCGGCGCTCATTGGGCGTCGGGCCTGCCCGTCAGCCGCAGGGGCGCAGGTTTTTAGGGTCCGCCCGCCCGTTTCCGCGTGCGGCGTGTGTGGCTGGTCCGGGCGGGCGCGGGCGCTGCGGAGGAGTCGGGCCGGGAAGGAGGGAGGCGGCGGAGTCACCGTCCCTGGGGTTGCTCAGGGAAACACTGGACGTGGCACTTGGTGCCAGCGTCTGGTTCAGAAGGTGGTGACCCGTCATGGGCTGTGATGTCGGAGGTCTTTTCCAACTTAAGTGGTTCTGCGATTCTCTGAATCGGCAAGGGCGGTTTGGGGAGAGGCGAGCAGAGCCCTCCTGGAGGGGGAACCAGCTTGTTCTTGCTCGCAGGTTTCTTGGCCCTGCAGTACCATAAGCACTTTCTTTCCTTCTTTCTACAATCCGATTTGTCCCCCCTGCCGGGTCTGGGGATGTCTTGGTTGTCCCTGGCTTGGTGTCTTGTCGCTTGCCTGTCCACAGCCGCTGAGTGTGCCAGAAACCCTGAGCCTTAGCAAAACCTCGGCTGGCTTTAGCTCACAAAAATCAGCCGAGGTTTTCCAACGGTGTTTTGTAAAACTTTGTCAAAGATTCACAGAAACGTTGAGGTTGGAAGGGATCACTGGAGACCACCTAGTCCAATTCCCCTGCCAGGGAAAGTAGGGATGGTCTCTTACCTGCTCAGTGTTGCTCACCAGTTTTTAGTGTTCAGTGAATCTACACAATAATTCTGTTCTGCATCTTGGAATCCTTCCTGTAAGCATTCGAGGCTGTGACATGTGCTGCACATACGGCACGTATTCCTTACGAGCTTTGAGCAATTGAAATAGCTAAAAACACTCCAGCTTCTCAGCAGGTCGTTTCATGGCCTGGCAGAAACGTTTCATGAAGTCTGTGGTGATACAGATTCCATTCCATTCCAGCTCCTAACTGTGCTTTGGTGGTAATTCTGCTGCACTTTCTATGAGAATTTAAAAGCTTAATATGGAGATCACTCACAGTGAAATTTACACGGGATCTGGCAACCTGTGAGTTCTCTTTGCTTGTAGATATTGTGATCTCTCCCACAAAAAAGACAGGAGACTCCTCCCATAGATATATAGAGTTTTCTGTGATTATAAAACCGTGGTTGTGTCTGCAATGTTTAAAACCAGTGGATTAATGTAGTATGAGGCAGGACTGATGTCTGGTCCCACCTTGGCTTTCCTGTGCACTGCCAGGGGAATTGCAAAAGCAGTCCTGTGACAGCACAAACTCGGACAGCAGTTTTAGGGAGGATGGGAGTCTGGTTCAATTTGCAAAAGCCCAGTGAACCATATACATGCTATTCATTCCCTCTTTGTTCAAGAGCTTCCATTAGTTTTGTTATAAATGTAATTTGGCAAAGAAAAGACTTTGCTTATTGTTGCTTTCTTTTTCTGTTAATTGTTCTGTCAGTTTATATTTACATACTCTAGTTTAAAATTATAATTACAGCATAATTGCACACATGTGTGATTCAACACCTTTGTAAGGGTATCCTGCTATACAGCTGTTCAGCTAAGAATTTTTGACTAACAAATATGAGCTATTCTTTAAATAATTAGAAAAGTGTGTATGCCATTAGACTCTACATCCTCTCCGGGTCATATTAGTCACAGAATACAAACACCTAATAAGTACTGAGCTGCAGACTTTTTCCTTTGTAAAAGAGCAAATATACAACTTTGATTTCTCCAGTGCATTAAACTGCCGCAAGTGCTGTGGGTAAGTCTGGTCAGAGTTCAAGTTTCCAAGTTTCTGCCAGTTCTGGAAGAATAATTAGCAAGTCTGGTTAGAGCTCTGAAGGCAGTGATGTTGCTATCAAGGGGTTCAGGCTGGGTATGACCCTCCTTTTCAAAAGGGTGAAATACATAATAATTTGTTAACTTAGACTGAAACATGTCCATATGGTCCATGTTATCTTGTTTGATGTTGCAACAAGACCTGTTTTTGAGATTATGGCATTTCAAAGTCTATTTAATAATATTTGCTTATTTATTTTTGGTGAAATTCAATATAAAGGAATGTAGATTCTTTTATATTGAAAGGAATATAAAGGAATGTAGATGGTAGGAATAGAGAATTGCTGTTAATCTTCACTCTGACTTGGAGGAAGTATAGAAATATTCCATATTTATAAAAAATAGATGGTATATAAGGTTCTTTAACTTTGGAAATACTAATTAGGGATTTTAGTTGCTTAAAGTGGATAAAAAAACCAGAGTGTTGTTTGTCAACAGCAAAAAGATGTCTCAAACTTAGAATTTAGAGCCTAAAACTTCTGTCTACTAATGGCAATTGCTGTGCAGTAAATAAAATCTGCTGCTATAAGGAAGGTACAATTTTAATATTGACCTGCAGAAAATGTGATTTAAATTATTTGTGTTTGTAGTAGAAGAGGACACCTCAATAGAAATAAAAGTAAAAAATAGTTTGCTGCATAAGTGTAAGGCTGGCTTCTCCCTCTTATTTGCTCACAGGTATTACTTAACTGTGCCAGGTTTGGCATTGCTCATTGTATTGATTGCTTTACTCATTCCATATGTTCTTTGAGCGTTGTCCTGAAGTTGCAGTTAAAAAGGGACAAAACAGGATATTCAGATGAGGGAAAATAAACAATAATTCTTTAGACCACACAGGATTAATTGTTTATTCCCCAGGAAGAGCAGAGTACAAGTGGAACTACTGGGAAGTTTAGAAGTAAACTTCCATATTGTGTATCATCTTTTATAGCTGGTGTCTTGTGTTGTGATGCATCAGTATGAGGAAATATAAAACCTCAACTTTGACGTGATTTTCTGTGATTTTTTTTTTTAGCTACTTAATGTAGTAGAAAGGGAGGATAAAATAATTCAATAGCAAAGCATGAGTCTTCTTCCTCCTTTGTGCAGGCCACCAGATGGAATGTAAGTAGGTTGTGTGACCGTTCTGCCGAGCTCATTCTATGGATGCTTTGAGTATAATTTAATATTTCGCTAGCCAGCTAACCAGGAAAAAATAATACCTGTCACTAAGAGTCTGAACTCTTATTCCCCAGGTTTAATCAACTCATTTTACCAACGTTTCTTTTGCCCCCTGGTTTGAGGTCTTCTATTTGGCACAGACGTCATGCGATACCCGATGTGGGAGCTGGAGACTTGAGAGCTGTTTTCCTAGACTAAATGTTTGAGGTTACAGGACGTAGCCTAGTTTCACATAAGCTTTCAAATTTCAGTGGGACATGCTGAATCCTGAAACTGTCAAATAGTGTATTATTTTTGGAGTGAGAGAGAGTATGTGTGTGTGAGTGTGTGAATGACCTTTACATTTTTACCCTATCCCAAAAGTCTGACTTCCTGCCCTTTCTCCCATGAGTCCATAAACTTTAGCATTAAAGTGAACATGTTTTAAGGAAGAAATTCCATAAGTAGAGAACAACTGGGATGGAGAATAGTTTATTTAGGGGAAAACAAAGAAAACAGCTAAATGCTACAAATGTCATGAGGGATATAGAAAAATCTGGAGAAGTTGGGATTGTCTCATTTGGCCAGGTTCCCTTCTCCCTCTTAGTAATACCAAGACCTTCGTATAAGGGTAGGGAGTGGTGGGCATAGTGGTCATGTCTTGTTTTTTTCCCTGCAGAAAAAGCTGATTATTTTTCTACTCTTCAAAGCAATAGGAGTGATGTGTCCTACTGAATGCCACACGTTAATTTACAAATTTGTAATTAATTCTAAAACTTTGTAAGCTAACAGAATCGACCTTTCTAAAGGCTGAATGAAAGTGCTTATGGCTGTCTTTATCAGATTTCTTCTTTGATATTGGTGATTGCAGTTATTCATTTCACAGGTACAATGTGCACTCTAATATTTCCTCAAGTGATATGTTGCAAAATCAGATCCACAGGCTTTAAAACTCTGGAGACAGAGGTATGATCTCAGTCATAACAACAAAGCTGTAGGCATTGAGGTTTTTTCCTTCCCTCTACAGAAGAACAACTGCTTCCTTATCTAGAAAGTTGCAAATCTTCTCTGTGTCTAAACAGAGAAAACCAAACCTCCATTTCTACCTGATATTCCTCTCTCTTGCAGGTCACTCAGGAGTAAAAGTAGGGCCACTGCTGTTATGTGAGGAGTGGAATGAAATCCATTTTCCTGTGGATTTACTCTTCCTTCCTTAGCTATCCCTAACAGAAGGAATTCCATTTTATCTCATAAATTCTATCCATTATCCCTCTAAATTCTGGCTGAGCAAAATGCACCTCTTTGTTAAGCTGGCAGACCAAAATGGATCTCATGTGAGCCCTGCTGTGGCCTCTTACACTGTAAGTATTGAAATGGGACCTCCTTGACCTCATTGCCAGTTTTCTCAAGAGCTGTAGAAAATTTTAGACCTTTCTAGATTGTCAAGGCTTGTTGAAAAATAACTGTTATTTTAGATATTTTGGGAGAACTCCTGGGTACTACCTTTTCTGGTTGAGAATCAGACCTTCCCCCCCTCATCCTTCTGAACTCGCCTAATAATGCTAAAAGAAAAGAAGTAAAGGGAAGGTTCTATGAGACAGGAATATCTGTGTGGATTCTAACTTTTTAGGATCTTATGGGAATTGATGTAAACTTTCCCTCGCCTTTGCAAGTGCATATTGGTGTAACAGATTCAGCACAAGGAAGTATATATGAGCCTTATGATTTAACAGGAAACTATTCAAAGCCTGGGAACTTGGTCTGAAAAGTGACATTATGCTTAATTTGGCTCCCATGACAGAGATTCCATCAGGCTGAACTATTCTGCTCAAGAAGCTGATTAGCTAGGCTAGCTCAGTATTCCTTGTGAGTTCACATCTTTCCTTTAGGGAGACTGTTGTCTCTCAAATAACACTGAGTGCTAGGAAGAAATGCAATTTTCCCCCCCTTTTTCATTTGAGTCATTGATTTGGTCATCTTGACTTCCATGTGTTTGGGAAGGAGGAGTAATTTGCTTTAAACCAAACTCCTTTATATTTAAAGTGTTGGTATATAAAGCAGATTTCATTGTAAGAAAAAGCGTGGGGTTTGGAGTCAAAGCCTAAAAACCAAATCCATGATGTTGACAGTAGCCTTAGGCAAGTCATTTTACACTTCTGGCTCATTCATTAGTTATTCAGATGTGAATGTTATTACTATGAGCAATATGTATTACTGCACAGAGTGAGCAGAAAAGCAACTGCACTGCTCTCAAAGAGGAAAAGCAGAATATAGAACAAGTCTAGTCTACTTTGACACATGTGGGAAGCCCATGACACAGTCTTGGTTTCTTGGCTTGTAGAGAACTGAAATAATTTAAAGAGCTACTTTGGGCTCCTTGATCATTATTGAAATGCTGAGCACATGTGCTAACCTTTATCCTGTAGAGCATTTAGCTCGCTGTGTTACCAGTGAAGCCAAGTGACCTAAAGCAGTGAAGGAATCATGCCCTTAGCCTCTGAAACACTCAGGCCTCTCCAATGTTCATCTACTTCTTGTTGTTTGTTTTGGTGGTGGTAGCAGTGGTTACCAGGATATCTGATCATCACTGTTAATAATCTTGGATTCTTCATTCATTAAGGATGATTTTTAAAGCAGCACCTTACCTAACTTAAATATCCCTTTACAGGAAAATGAATTATGCAAGCCTAGAATTTATTAAGTAGAAGGAGAGTAAATGATGCAAATGTGACCTGCTTTTTCACGTGGGGTTACAATGTCCATGTGACTTCGAAATCAACCGTGGTCAGCACAGTTCCAGCAGCACGGGGGTTTGCTTGGGGATAGAATAGAGGGAGTGATGTGACAGTGAGCGCGTTTAAGCAGCCCTGCAGTGTCTGATTAGCGTGGGCGAGCTGCGAGCGCAGGTGCGGATGCTCAGGGCAAATCCAGTGCCCGGTTCCCAGGGCTGCCGGCCCTGCCTCGGGCCGGGCACACACCGGGGAGGGGGCCCAGCTGATGGCCATTAAAGTGACCTGCTGAAATCGCCTCTCCTTGCAGGCAGTGCAGGGCATAAAGGAGAGGGATGCTGACAGGCAGAGGCGTTCTCAGCCCCAGCCGCGGAGCGGGCGAGCCGTGCGGGCTGTGCCCGGCGCGGCCCTCGCCCTGCCGGCCGGAACGGCGGCGGCGGGGCCCGCGTTGCCGCAGGGGCGCTGTGGGGACGGACCGGGCGGGCTCAGCGCAGCCATGGCCGCCCGCGTTCTCAACGTGAACGTGGGAGTGCTGGGCCACATCGACAGCGGGAAGACGGCGCTGGCGCGGGCGCTCAGCACCACCGGCTCTACCGCCGCCTTCGACCGGGCGCCGCAGAGCCGTGCGCGGGGCATCACGCTGGACCTGGGCTTCTCCTGCCTGCGCACTGCGCTGCCGCCGCAGCTGGGCCCGGGGCCCGGCGAGCTCCAGCTCACGCTGGTCGACTGCCCGGGGCACGCCTCCCTCATCCGCACCATCATCGGCGGTAAGGGGGGCGCAGGGAGGCCGCCCCGGCCCGCCCCGGTGGCTGTCGCGCCTCTCGGGGTGCTCCAGCCCTCGCCGGCTCCGCGCCCCCGTGGTGGGAGCGGAGCCGCTGGGAGTCGGGGTCTCCGGCTATGCCCAAACCTACGGGACGGGGAGTGTCAGGATACTCAGGGACCTGTGACTTTGCTACGCTTGCTCGTAGTTGTTCTTCAAATAATAAAAAAAATAGTGCTTATAGAAAAGCACTTTGTACATGTGAGTTCTTGGGGTGCTGTTTGGATGGTTAGGTGTGCTCAGGTTTCTTATTCTTACTTGGAAAAAGTTTTATTTATTGTGTGTAGAGGCCTTATTAATGGCATTGAACGGCCCTATAGGTATCTATTTTCTTACCTGTTAAAGCTATCAGAGTTTGATACTGTAGTTGAGAGCTGTGATGTAGTTGCAGGACATGCCCATGTTGTCTTGGAGGACTAGGGATAATGATAATTTTAGGCTTAGAAATAATTAATGGGTTTTGATGACTGTTCATTTAAGTCTTCATAGGTGATATCAGAAGGACTCATTTTAAGTTAGTTCACCTTGTTCTATCTCCCGTCTCCATTTCTTTTAAAGAGTGTTAAGAGGTGGTCGGTGCTTGACGAAGGACATGATGGAGTCACAGCTGCAGGAGTTTAAATTAGTCATAGGTTGATGCAACTGCGGTGATCAGCCTGCAAGTTCCGTTCCTGTGCACTTCCTCTGCCAGTGTCTCTTTAATGACGACCTGGTGGTAGTTCTGTAGGACAATGTTTCTTGGCTAGACTGAGGTTCAGGCTGAGTTAGTTGTAATGATGTGGGAATTTAACCCCCTTTTGAACGATTGTGTTTTTTGTAAGTTTCATTAGCCATAAGTGTGTTGTATTGTTTGCAGTTCTTGTGGCTAGGATAATCAATATTTACTTATTTGTCAATTTCACCAGCAGTAAAAACCGCTCTGTATCATCAATGGGTGCTCCACAGCTGCAGGGGAGGCGTGGCCGTGTGCTTAATTCCGGGAACCTATGGTCTGGTAGTCGTCTCTTGTACTCGACAATCCCTTATCATTCTTTAGTAATAGCAAGCACCTGAAGAGCAGGGTTGACCTTGGCAGATGTTTCTTGGATGTACTGAGGAGTCACTTGTAGTCAGACATTGCTCTCTGCCAGAAGCAGCTAATGTGAATGGTGTAAACTTTCTCATGAAGGGGCCGTGGGAAAACTTCGAATTCAGCTTTAACCAGTTTTGTTTTTCAATAACTTTAACACTTATTTGGGGTGATTGTTTGATACACAGACTTCTCATTGCTTTCTGTTATTTTTATGAAGATCCTCAAAGTATTTAGTGACAGCTGTCCACATCAGATTTGCTTATTGATAGGCCATGCAGGGAGAAGGAAGGCAAGGATCGGATGAGGTGATTATAGAGTTTCCTTCCCGGCAAAAATAATTCTTTACAGATGGTAATTCAGACATATAAGCACATCAAACTCTTAGTTCCAGTTATACCAGGTTATGTGTCTTATGAAATAAAACAGTTGATTAGTGTGACTTACTGTAATTCTGTGTATTAGGAAAAGGTTGGAGAAAAAGTGCAGTATTGTGTTAATAGTTTAAATAATTAGGAACTTCAGTCTTCTGCTTGATAACATAGATGTATCTTGATAGTGGATGCTTTTTTTGGTTTTTTACTACCAGATTTGAAAGGTGAAACCTTGATGATAAAACCTGATCTGTGCCTGTGGGACTGTTTAGGTGCTTACAGGTTTGGTGTGGTTTGGTGAAACTCAAACTGAAGTGTAGCATGTCTTGTGTAACAGGATACATTCTCTGCTGTTCCTATGTGTTTAAATAATTCCAACTTTTTCACCACTTCAGGGATGGAAAGTGAGTCCTCCCAGATAACGATACTTGAAAAATTTAGGCTATTTTCATCTACTTCCTTGTTACTAAGCATTAAGGGTTCATCATTCCAAACATTTTCTCTGCAACCAGGAATGCCACTACCCTTTTCTTTTTGATGGAATCTGTAATTTCCCTGTTACTACATGTTTCCTCTATATGTGGTTTTTCAGTAGGGGTTAAGTGCAAAGTACTTTATCTTCCTATGCTTATTCTGTACCTCAGATTTCCCATACTGCTTTAAAATATCACTGTTCTGAATTCAAATCCTAGGGTAGCTCTAGGTGGAAGTTGATCTGCAGAAAAGCTAGAAGTAGGATGCCTGTGGGCAAGGGAGCTGGATGTGAGGATTTGGAAGGTGGAATGACAACAGAGATGAGAGGGCCGCTTCAAAACTGTGTGTTAGTCATATGCATGGAGGCTTTGAAGGAGATGCTACTGCTGTGAAAGTGTTCTTACATCTTCCTGTTGTTTGCAGTTCTTTTTTCACTGAAGATGGGATAAACTAGTTGGTTTCCCCTTGAGTGATCCCAGCTCCTGGAAACACCATCTGCTGTGGCTGGGTAGCACCAGCATTGTTCACTCAGGCCTCCCATGAGTGGAGGAGCTCATGGGTTTCCTTCTGAGGAGTCACTTTCTGGCTCTTCTCTTCCAAAGTGCCATTTTCACCAGTGATGCCCCAGGTTATCTCTTGTAACTGTCATCTTTTCTGCACTCCCAGTGTTAATTTCCGTGCTCTGAGGATTAATTCCTTTGCTGTACAAAGCTGATAAATCTGTTCAGAGGTTAAATGTTAGTATTTACTAGTCTTTAACATATTTCCGCATGTAGCTAATTCCTGAAGTGGATTTTTTCATGTCAAAATCTAGTATTGAATTTTTGTCATGCTGTGCCAGGTAGTGCTTGACCTTGTGAATACTTCTCACAGTCACTCACAAGATGCTTGTTCAGACACAATACCTTAGGATTAAATGAATGCAGAATATTTGAGCAGTAACCAAATGGAATGAAAAATAGAAGTCGTATTTCATTCTGTGTGGCTACATTTTTCTTGCAAAGCTTGTCCTTGAAAACAAAACATATCAAATGTTACATCAAAAGTGTTTTGTTTTGGATGGTTTTTTTACCTGCATGCTAGGAATTGGAAATGTTGCAGACAAGTTTCACCCAAGATGTTTTAAGTTTTAGATGGAAGGTGATAGTCAAGGTTGGAATGGAATAAGTAATAGTCACTTGGTGTACTTCATCATGCCTTTCACTTGTATTCAAACCATACTGGTTTATATTCTTCTAAGGCTCTTGTGTGCCTGTGGCAGGAAGGCATTAAGTTATTGTGGGTAGCTGTATGGTTTGGACTGTGCTATGTATTTCTGTCTTACTCTTTCAAACAATAAGAATGCAACTCTTTATTTTAAAATGCAATTTTTAGACTTTTTCTGTGCTTTAGCAGGATCTTGTCTCAAGCAAGTCAACACAATCAGTGTTTACAGCCTTTTGTGTCTGACTTGCTAAGGAGAACAAACAAACATGAGTAACTGAACCTTAAGGGCTAATTCTTGGCTTGTCCCAAGCAGTAAGAAGCACTCACATCAGCCTTACACTTGGTTTGTGCACTGAAGGAATGACTGCAAGATGTAGGACTGATATTTTTGTCACTACTTCATTCTTCTGTTGCTGTAGAGATTTAGGATGGTATTTTGTAAAATTTTACACTGAGATGGGGTAATTTCTGTCACAGCACTGTGGGGTTTTTTAAGCTTTTGTTCTTTTGTTAATGTTCAGCCCCTCATCTTCCACAAAGCTGATGTTAATGTCGTTGAAATAAGAGTTGCTTTGACGTTTGTTTGTCACAGACCTGTGCACCAGTAGGGTCTGGAATAGTTTCTCAAATGAGTTCAGCAGGAAGGGATGCCTGCAGAGAGGTTAGACAAGTTAATCTGCCAGACGAAATTCAATCCCCATATTTCATTTTAAGACCACTTTGCGTAGCAAAGTAGTTTAAGCAGTAGCAGATTTTTTCCTCGCTGATGGTTAATTTCATGCCATACAAAGGGTCAGCACACTAATACAGGAGAACATGATTACCTCATCCCAACTTCCCCCACACAGGCAGCCAAGGGATACCGAGTGTTTGCTTTAAGTGAGCTGTTGTCAGATGCCCTTTATCTGTTTGATTTCGAGATGGGTCCTCAAAAGAACTTCTAAATCAGAAAATTATTATTTTTTTTTTCCCTATGAAGTTCAAAGGACAGAGTATCCTTATAGGGTTTTAATTGGAAAGCTACTGCTTGACCTTGGTTGTTTAAGCCTGGGCTGGGGAGAACTCTGACAAACTTGTAGTTTTGTAATCCTTATGCCTGGCTGAACCTTTGACCTTTTTACTTTATAACTAGAACTTCATTGTCACCATTTGTCCCTGCAGTTCCTTTCAAAGAAGACTGCCTTCCAAGTGTCTGTTTCCACTTTGCTGCTGTGTTCAGCTAAGGAAGGGTATTAATTCATACCTGATACATTGGAGGGGCCAAGACTTTTGAACTTGCACTAGAGTTTGGAGAGGGGGAAATGAGCATAGCAAAAGCATGTCTTGCTGATGCAAATGAGTACAATGAAAACAGGCTTGGGAGATCAAGGGAAATGTGGTCTTGCTACCAGCATTCAAATTCAGTCAGATGCAGATTATTTGTAAGATTAACATATCACAGAAAAACCTCACCTTTTATCACGGATTAGTTGTTTTGCTGAGTTTGTTATAAGCTTTTAGGAGGATTTGTAAGCTTGGAGTTACCTTTGGGTTACTGTAGTGAAAATGCACTTCTGTCAATGTGCGCTTTTGTTTGTTGAGACCTTTGTGAAGATGTGACAGTTCTTGCTTCTTTTCTATTCTGGGTGAGTGAGCAAGTAGAGTTTTGTAGCTGTAGATGTGTATGTGGATGACTTGCTACTCAGTACAGATGTTGAATGAAGGGAAACCTCTGGGGGAAAAGAGTGCCGTGTATTTACTGGCTATCATTCTAGTCAGAGAAAAGTCACTAGGGAGTCTTGATCTTTGGCTGGCAGCTTGAAGTGAGAGTAACGTAATGAACCC